GAGAAAATTCATGTCAACATCAAAACAAATAATAAAATTTGTGTAACCTTATATGATCTTGTAAGTCAATTCCAATGTCCAGTGACTGACTGGGGCACGGGATGATCTTGAGATGCTTAATAGTATGTTTGACACTTGCACAGCAACCCATGACTTATCATTCATGGATGAAAAATGACAAATGCATCTCTAATGTAGAAAGTCAGCCACTGTTATTACTAATTGTTGCACTTTGAGCTAGAACTGCACAATGAAATGAGCACTAGTGACAATTCTAAATCAAAGAGCAAAAACTGCATGTGAAGTTTAATGAAATGTGTGAGTTAACACAATTTGTAAAAACCTGCAAAGTCAATAAAATTTAATATATAGGGTTATTATTATATGTATATGAAAAATACTAAGATTCCACCAAATAAACAGGCATTTGGCATTGAAAAGGGTGCAGCTTTGTGAAATTAATTTATTAGCTTGCCGCGTATCATCAAGTTTTTTGATTTCAAAATTTATTACAAGAGTTAATTTACACCATCATTGTCTTTCCAATATTATTTTCACGACGTCGAAGACGAGGATGACCTAAAAATTCCATTGTTAATACCCTTCCATTTATATCCAAGAACATAGCTTACACAAACGAGATTACTTACTTTGCCCATTCAACTCGCAAGATCAAGTTATCGTAACCATAACCATTAAGCGAAGCGAGAGCCTTTCCGGCGTCGTCTCTAATTTGAAAACTAACAAATGCAAATCCTTTACACATGTTTGTTTGGTGATCACGTGCAAGATATACTCGAGAGATTGAGCCAAAGTGACGGAATAATTCATGAATATCGCTTTCGGTTGTATCTTCGGAAAGGTTGGTGACACGGATTGTAGCATCATCTTTTAACAAGACGAAAAAGAATTAGCGGATAAAAATGAATAAACGGGTGAGGTATGAGTGATACATTGTTGGGTTGAATAAAAGTAAGCACACCTCTTCGTTCCTTGTATGATTCGCCAGTAGATTTACGGTCGCCTCGTAAGCTTGGTGGAACGTATTTGCCAGGTCCTGGTGCTTCTACTGGAGCAGGTTCCGTAGTTGCTGTGGGTATTGGATTGCATTAGCAGTAAGTTAAAAAGAAAAGATCAATTAGACCAACAACAAAACGGTTAAGTTTCTTATCCAGTAAAAAACATACATGGCTCCTTAGACTCTTGTATATGTAATTCATCTAGTGGCGGAAGAGTGTCCTTATACGGACACTTTGTTGTAAAGTGATCTCCTTTGCAGATACGACATAAGATTTTCTTTCCGAGGAGTTTTTTCTTTGTTATTTCGATATCTTCCACAGTTTCCACGCCCTGCAGATGAGGTGTGATATGGTAAGACAGCGATTCCAACATCAAGATCGTAAAAATTAACGAAAAGAGTTCCTACCCTGCCGGTAGACGAGAGTTTTAGAAAAACCTGTTCCCCAACACTTGTCGTACTGAGATCAGGTCCAGGTTTTTTGCCTTGTTCCTCTCCAAATTTTGCCCATTTCTATCATATACGCATAGAAGGTAAGTAACTGCACAACCGCTAATCATAACGCATAACGCATTTTGGAAAATATCACGCACCTTTCTCTCGGCTGCTGCCTTATTTACGCGCTCTGTGATAAGGGTCTTTTTAATTTTTCGTGTGACCTGTTGTCAATCAAACGGTGTTAAAGTCAAGAATTTTCACATCTTATTGACAGCGTTCACCTTGATCATAACTTACCTTTACTTTCTTTCCGTCATCATTTATTATGTGTTCGATAACAGTCTTGACTCCATTTTCATCAGTAACTGCCTCATAATGGAGATCTGCTCAAGGTTGAAGAGATCAGAATAAATTCCGAATATATGCTAGAATGCTTGAATAACATACCAAGTTCCTCCCCAACTTCGTCGGCCCAACTTGATTTTGGAGCTCCCCTGCGAATTAAATTCGATAAAGCTTAGTAAAAAAGGGCATGTTCTCGAATGGGTGCTGGACTCATTTACTAACGTTATTTCCACAGGCATTTTATTTTACGACCCCTTCCGTCCCGAGAATGAAAAATTTTTTGAATAATCAATCACGTGTACAAATGCCAAATCTTCCCGTGACTTCAAACACATCTACCCGACTTCTGATCCAACTTATTGACCGCATTGAATTAAATTATGACTTCCAGTACACCAATAAAGCTGCAAGACTTTCTCAACAAGCGTGTGCAAGTCGAAGATCAACTTGCTACAGTTCGATACGTTGGTCCTGTCCCACCAACAAAAGGTGAATGGCTGGGAGTAGAATGGGATAATGTTTCACGTGGAAGACATGACGGTGTGCACGAAGGCGTCAGATATTTTACGTGTTCGTAAGTTTTGTGGGCTGATTACCTGGATATCTAATATTAAAAGCCCAATCGTTTGACGAATCCGCGTCATCTCATCCCCCCATTTAAATTTACATTCCGTAGTACACCTAACAGTGGTTCTTTCATTCGTTTCACACCAAAGATAACAGCTGGCCGAAGTTTTCTATCGGCATTGATTAACAAGTATATTGATGATGAGATGAAAGAGAATGATTACAATGCACAAAATGATTTGGAGACCTTGCATTGGGCAGGAAACAGGAGGATCGAAGTCGAAGCTTTAGGTTGGGATAAGGTCAGAAGGAAGCAAAGGTGAGCAAAGAATGTATCAAACTTGCGAGAAAGATATACTCTATTAATGGAATTGGGGAAAACTTTTCTTGCTTTGTAGTCATTTAGACAGATTGACGGAAGTCGGGTTATCGTTCGAGCAGATCTCGAACGCTGGTGTGCCGGGCGAGATTGAAGCTGGCAATCTAAGTAAGTGATTGATCTTGACTTTGATAGTTCATTTTGATTGGTAAACGTTATAATATTGTCTAATCAAAACAGTTTGTATATTTCGATAGATATTATTGATCTAAACCTTTCCAAGAATTTATTGTCCGACTGGGAGAATGTCGCTCATATTTGTGAGCAATTGAAGAAGTTGCAAATTTTACGGTTGAAGTATGGTGCTTTTTAACTCTGACCCATCCAAGATCGATTCATCGACTCAACCCTTACCCGCTAAGACTATTCCCTGCAGTTATAATCGTTTTCAGCCATTACAGTCACCACCACAATCCATCGAGGGGTTCAAGAACTTGAAGAGCTTGTCACTCAACTACACACGTATTTCATGGTCTCAGGTATGCAGAAGACTCTTTTTTTGCCCGGGCTGTTAAAATATCACGCGGCTTATTATTACATCTTAGGTCCAACTGCTTGAACCATGTCTGCCAAATCTCGAGAATCTCCAATTGGGATTTAATAACATGCATCATTTCGGTACATCTGATACAGAAAAGAGTCAACCAAACGGTAGATTAGTTTGCGGGTTTCATAAGTTGAAGATTCTGAATTTAGAGAGTAATGGCATTGATAGTTGGGAAGAGGTTGCACGCTTTTCTAAATTGGAAAGGTAAAGAAAAAAAAAGGTATTATGGGTTTCCCGAGTATTGTGCAGTCTAATCACTGAATTGTCATTATTTCTATATAGCCTTGAAGTGCTCTTCTTGACAACAAACAAACTAGATAAAATATTATATCCTTCAAACGCTTTTCCTAAATTGCGACTTTTGATTTTGGACGAGAATAAGATTGCTGACTGGACCAATGTTGATGAATTGAACAAATTTCCCGCGTTGAAAGAATTAAGGATTAAGAATAATCCTTTCTCAGATGGTATGAATATGTTTTCTATCATAACTCTCTTCATAGATGCATCTAGCAATTAATTGGATATACCAAACCGACTTATTCTCAGGTGTTAAACAAAGTGAATCTAATGCATCGCTAATCGGGCGAGTGAAGGGCTTGACCATGTTGAACGGCAGCACAGTAAGGATGTTTGTGCAGGGTGCTTCCCTCCTGATTCAAATGACATTCTGAATATGTCTGTGATATAGATAGCACCCGGCGATAGAGCAGATGCCGAGCGATACTATCTTCGTCTCTGTGTACGTGAATTCAAAACACCAGAGGAAATAGAAAAGAAGCATCCACGATATAAGGAACTATGTGAAATACACGGTACACCGACAGCTGATGAACTGCTCGCTCAGTCAATGAGCGGCATGTTAAAGGATCGGTTGATAAGTACGTTATATCAGAATATATACTCTAGTAGACATTGTTGACTAATTATGTCGGTAATTATGTAGCTGTCGTCATCATCCATCGAACGTCACTGACGGATTCCGAACACATTAAAAAAGTTACCAAAAGATTGCTCGGTAAGTGACTGCTATAGCAAGAAAATTCATATACCATGCGATGAATTAACACGTCTCATTTCCAGGCACTATGACTATAAGAAGCTTAAAGAATATTCTGCAAAAGCTCTTTGGAGTTCCTCCATTTGATCAGTGTCTTTTTCGTATTCCAAAGGTATTTTTCGTAGACGTTAACAGCAATGCGAATTAGCTACGTATGCTCTGTATATAATTATTCTCTGGCTTATATAGATGGAAGAAGGAATGGATGAACAGGAACCTGTCGAAATGAATGATGATCTCCGAGAACTTTCATATTATGATTTGGCTGCTGGTGATGAAATTATACTTGTAAAGACCGAATAGGGAAACGAGAATACAAAATAACTTATTTATTGTTCATAGAATTGTAACATTTTAGTAAATATAATTGCAATGTCTTAGAGTTGTATTGAAATAAACGACTGAGGAAACGAGCGCCATGCGGTTTACAAAATAATACTGCTTTATTAGTGTAATTGCCTTAATCTTAACTTGAAGATAAACATTTCGCACGCGTTGCATATTAAATAAATATCTATGGCCATTGCTAGACATATTGTGAATAACTAGAATAGCAAGCATATAACCACCCTCCCCCAATTTGTTATAGCAGTATATTCATATAAGAGCATTCACTGGCCAGTCGTTTTGCCAGTCTTGTCAAACCGTTCATCAACCGTCGTTTTAATATCCAGTCAACACGAGTGAGTGTAGCACCAAACCAGCATTGTAATGGTATTTAATCCAGTGGACAATTCGCTCCGGAGAGAAAAAAAGGTCTGGTCTGAAATGCACACAATATGGTAATAACGGGTCGTATTATTTCATCGACAATCATTTCACCGACAGTACATTTCACCGACAATTAACTACCAAAAAAGGATAACTTCGAAATAATGTTGGTGAAGATTTGTCGGTGAAATGATTGTCGGTGAAATAGTTGTCGACGAAATGATTGCCTCCCGGTAAGAACGATAGCCCATAAATTTTCAGGTTTAGAGGGCCAATCAATTACTTCTGGGACACCACCAGGTAATTCGTAAAGGTGCAACTAAATAAAGGAACGCAAAACTCCAGGTAATTCGTAATTGATTCGAAGGTTCAACCCTAAAAATCGTTTGCCTTCACGTCGGGTATTAACCAATATACATTCGAGAACAATATTGTCCGTATCCACACAAGCAACAACTACAAGTTTAACTAATTCATAATATACCTTACACCCCCTTCTAAAGTTCAAATGTGGTCTCGCTTCCTTCATATATCAAAGCATAATAACCTGCTCGAAAACGCTTCACGTTTTTTTCGAACTCTCCTATATCCCCCGCATGTCCAAAGTATTCACGCACCGGTATTTGCCTCGATATTTGGATGGATTTTTCGAAGCATTACCCTCTAGAATTTTACAACTTGTGCGCTTGGGGGTCGTTATCTTGCTGGAGTTCCAATTGTCTTGTGAGCCAAAGTTTCCGTTCTCAACCTTTCAATATTATATTTGATAATTGAAAGTGGAATGTTAGTTAATTTATGAATTTTGTTGTGTACACCTTTGCTAAGAAAATCAGAGTCCTAATCCCAAAACGAAGGATGACGTTGACAAAGCGACATGTTTTTTTACAGTACCATGATAACTTTTTATAATCAAATTCGGGTTCTGGGGAGGGTTTCGGCGAGTTCAGCGCTATCATGCTGCAAAAGTATTAACACTGCCGCGTGTTATCGTTATTCTTTCTCGCTACCGCGAAGAAAAAATGGTGGGAGAAGTGGCTTATAAGAAATATCAGTCATCTTGAAATGGTAGGATTGGAACGTTAACTACGAGTATGATGTATTTGTTGTTTGTTATTATTATGCGAATATTAAAGAAAATTTTATAAACAGAAAGAAGTGAGAGAGTGTGTCTGCGGCAAGGCGGAGGATAGGTGTTTGATATTGGCGGATAAATGACAAGAATGACGTGCATATAGATATAGCTAAGAGACCGGATGTGAGGGTTTGCGTTCCTTTATTAATAAGAGGTTCAACCATCGATCCGGTTCGCGTACACAATTGTATTCAATAGCAGTACCTCACCAGATTTGGGGAGGTAAATTACGATTAATATCGTTATTATTATGTCCATGAATAATAAGTCTCTGCTGATACTTCAACAAGCACTATTATTTGCAGATTCTTCTAGCGATAGTGAAGTTCTGATGATGTCCTTTTTTTTATACGTATTTTGTGTTCACACATTCGTTTCCTTTCGATAAGGAACAATTAGCGTTAGATATCCAACCCCAAATTTGGAAAGTGAAAAATAGCGATAAGGACCCCAATCTATTGCCAAATTTGACAAAATACCTACCCCCCTAAATATGGTAGGGGAAGTACTGATGAGGAAAAGAACGGTATATTAGTGTTAAACTCTCCGTGAAAACTTCTTATTCAAACGATGTCATTAGCTCCTAATCCAGCAATTGACAACTTGGTTCAATCCTCCTTGGAAGACTCAAGACTTGAATGGATTCCTCGCTCGCAAATTACCGATATAGAGCCAACTCAAATAATTGACAACGTTCATTACGCTACTCGCAAAGACACAGACAATGGTAAAGTACGGGAAACGATGATAATACTGGTATTCCTTGGAAGTAAAGAAGAATGTACACCAACACTTGTGAGTGAGTTTGCTAGAATATACTCACTTCCGACACACAGGTACAATAATGATGTCAGTCAATATGGACGATATTCCAAATGGCTTAATCATCGTAACAGGTTCATAATTGGATTCACCAAGTACGGAGATAGCTATTACGTGGTCGCTAATAGAGTGGTTTACCATTATTATTCTCGATATGGCTTCTGCACTGCATGTGGAATACTCCGATGTAGTCCCGTGTGGTGCATTTGTGGACATAAACAATTATCCGA